TCTCTTCAACTAATATTATTAAACTGCCTTGTTTTCTTTTTCCATTCCCCAGAGCTTTACATATATTTAATATCCATAGAAGCGTATGCCTTTTAATTAGCATTTAGAAACACCTGCTAAGGATAACTGAATTTGAAAGGAAAACTGGCCACAATGCATAAGTGTTGGTCTATTTATCCTCAGCCCCTGAATGCTATATTCTGTTTTTGTAGTTAATGAAAAACCAGGCAGAAAGCAGAATAGAAATGGTGAGAGAATATGGTACTGTGTTGCATGTCTCTCTGTGTCAAGGTTTATAACCAAGGTAGGATTCCCTTTCATCTGTGAGCTTTAAATTACTATACTAGTATACTGCCTTCCAATATTGTTGCTTTGTATCCCTGTGATTAAAAAACCATCTTTCTATTCTGGAAATGGCAGCTGCAGTCTATTGGCAAAATTATCTCCAATCAGAACTGACAGCAGCAAAGCAGACCAGCTCCACAAGAGCTGTTTATCATTTCCCCTTTGGCTCTCTCTGGGTTTGACAAGTGACAAGGCACCTATAACATAGTAACAAATGCTCCGGTTTATTCATCCAACCTAAACAAATGTAGACAGCATTTTGCTTTTGCTAATGCAGAAAATGCAGCATTATTCCTTTCTCATTAGTCCTTCTGTTAACCAGACTATAACAATGGTCTATTGTAGATATTCCTTTCCCTTCTTCTCTTCCCCTCCCCTCTCCCAACAAAGAGGACTAATTTCTTACAAGCATCATTTTACTGGCAGAGCCTTGGGAAGGGGAATAGGTTTAGCAAAGTCTAAAACTAGCAAATACCATTACCACTGCTACCTTTGGAAAGCAATGAATGTAAAGCTATCATCTATTTGCCTCTTCAATACTGAACCATACCCAGAAGTGTATTAACACAAAATCATTTTTAAAGCCATAAATCCATGAGCCTGATTTACCTGAATGATTTCCTACCACTAATAGTAGAAGAAAAAATATATTTTTATAGATCATGAGAGCTATAAATCTCATGGGGGGGGGATTAAAACACTAGTTATTCTGACCAACCATGCAAAACAATGAATAAGGTTATGTTTAACATTTACAAATTATTTGATATTACACCAATTGTTCAACTGCAGCTCTGCACAGAAGATAGGAACTTATAGAAAGAAGATCACTGGAAAAAGTTTTATTTCACTAGAATCAACTGTATTATATATGCCACTATAGTGTTTATCAGAAAAAATTGAATGCCAAGGAATATTGCCATTAAAAAAATAATTCTTGTTGAAATAACTTTGTTCCACACTATGAGAAATCCAATTATTATGATCCCATCATGAAACTCTTGCAGAAAAGTTTCATATGCATATTTATAATAGACAACCTAGATAGTTGTTACCAGGGTTAAAAACCTTATAACTGAGGGATATTTAAAAATTTTGTAAAGGTTTTAAATAGGATTTTAAAACTAATTTCTAACGTTAAACAGTTCCATCTAGTTGAAAAAACAAGCAGGCATTTTATAAATGAACTACTCAATATTCATTTATAGACAAGCAATTTCAACCTAATGGACAGTTTATGTAGAATGAATATTTGTGTCTGTATGAGTCCCTTACCACTTGATGCACATTTTTATTTCTATTACATTTTGGGGTAGAAAACATAAATCATCTGGACAGACTGGTTAATTCACAATGCCACTCTCAGTTAAAATGGTAACTGTTTTTCCTTTAGGAAAAGTTAGATAACACCTCATAACTAAATATATTCTATTTTACAATTAACAGATGGCTAATATATATGTAGCTTTTTTGCCATATGATCATTAAAGAAACTATATGTTCTCAAAAATTATGTTATCATGTAATTTGCACTTATACATTTATAATATGATACATATTCACATTAGTGAAGTAAAAAATGGAAGAATAGATATTGATCTAAATTTAACAGGAGAAAATATCACATAGATTCTATTCTATACTGCAGCCATAATAAAATATACTACATTTAAAAAACTTCGAGGGAGAATTTAAAATCAGGAGAAATGAGTTTAAGGAGAAAATAATACTCCCACAATGAAACCGCCAGCTCTGCATTTAAATTTTTTTTTTAAAAGGCACATTATGGTCACCAATGACCTCATTTCTATCTAGATCCACCCAAAATTATTTAAGGAACAATTCAGACATTGTCTATAGCATGCAAAGTATTAATCTGAAGAACACAATTTCTGAGGAAATCTCAAAAGTGTATATACTAAAGCAAGTTAAATTCCTCCTGAGTAATATATTAAAAGTCCTTGGCCACCAATGAGTTAATTAATAAGATTGGGAGTTAAAGCACATGGATGTTGGCATTAGGCAGAGAACCCACAAAAGATGCAGAGCTTGGGAAAGAAATAATCCATAAAAGTGAACCAAAAAGCTACATATTCTTATGCAAAACCAGACTTCCTGTTCCCATCCCACTTTCTACCCTTTTGATAAAAAGGGCTGAAAGAATGTCTAGCTCAACAATAGAAAGGTGCAAATACCACATAAACAGTCACTCATTTCTGTGCCCTTAGCCAAAGTACTAAATGCCCACTGGGACTATTTCCCATTGCCAGAAACACAAGGTCAATATGAGTCTTCTGAAAGGCTTGTTCTGAGCATTCATCAAGGGTTTCTAAAGCTGTGAAAAGAAGGGCTTTTTTTAAGGGGAGGGGGAAAAAACCCTGTTCTTTCAATACCTTAAGAAGCACATCAATAACACAATTGCAGCAGACAGAATAATGGGGGGGGGGGGGAAGGAAACTGGCCTTGCTTTCTTCCAGATACAAATTCAATTTCCAGCATTGTCCACATACACATGAAACAAGAGCAACAAGTGGTGGAGAAGAGGCAAAAAATGGGGGGTGGGAGAAATGTGGTGGGCAAAGGCCACCATCTCTAGATTAAGTGCATCTATACGATTCATTGTTATTAAATGTTTCATGCCTGGATTCCACAGCATAATGATGTTAAACAAGCAAAATATTACTAACTATTTACGTAAAATTTATTTTATATAATCAAATGGCCTTCAATAAAGGTACACATTTTATTTTAGTAATTATATGTTTTCTGCCATGATTTTCCATCTTTCTTTTCAGAAGACAAAGTAACATATTTGAAATGGATTTTAATTTTAAAAAATCGTGGTATCATTTTCTGAAGTACTTGAGTTCTCTCTTACAGATATAGATATTTAAATCTGAACACATATATATCTGAATACATATATATATATATATATATATATATATATATATATATATATAAAATATATGAATACATACATAGATATAGATATATAGATATATCAGTCCTGACATGATGACGAACTAACATTATGATGATGTAACTTCCACCTCAGACTATTTTTGGCAGAGGTCATTCATATTGTTATCCCATGATACACTTTAGCCATAATTTAGTATGTATACCAGAATCAGTGTTACAGATGAAAAAAATAATCATGATTTATATGGTGACTTCACAATGTTCTCCATTCTACCATCACTCAAAAGATATCAGGACATGTCAGGTTCTAGGTTCAGACATGCCATGATTAGAACAAATCAAGATTTATAAAAGAGCCATGATGGCGTAGTAGTTAGAATAAAGTATTACAGGCTAACTCTTCCCACTGCCAGGAGTTCGATCCTGACAGGCTCAAGGTTGACTCAGACTTCCCTCTTTCTAAGGGCAGTAAAATGAGGACCCAGATTGTTGGGGACAATATGCTGACTCTGTAAATCGCTTAGAGAGGGCTGTAAAGCACTGTGAAGTGGTATATAAGTCTAAGTGCTATTGCTATAAAGCCCAATCAGCATGGTTTCAATTTGTGGTTGTTCCAAAGAAAAAGAAAAAAGATTACCCTTCTGGGAGCAGTTTCACATATCATGGTAAATTATAACTAAATTATAATAACTTTCTATTATGGGCAAACTAGTGAGCCTGAGTGGTGCAGCAGACTAATGCTACTGTTAAAGGTAGTATTTAGCTTCCAGCTGCCTGCAATTACTGCGAGTTCAATTCTCACCAGGCTCAAGGTTGACTCAGCCTTCCATCCTTTCTAAGGTAGGTAAAATGAGGACCCGGTTTGTGGGGGCAATAAGCTGACTTTGTATAAAATATACAAAAGTATGAAGGCTATTGCTTAACGCCTTGTAAGCCGCCCTGAGTCTCCGGAGAAGGGCGGCATATAAATCAAAATAAATAAATAAATAAATAAATAAACAAACTCTTTACTTCTCTGACATAAACTTGGATTGAACAAGACCTCTCAGGCCAAGCTAAACAAACATGTACATATAGGGTCACATGCATGTAATTGCATGAAAGAATGTAGAGACAGAATAAATGCACAGAAAAAGGTCTAGTTGGAGTCATACATTAATATTTTAAGATGGGTATCTGAAGTGGTTACCCATCCACTGGTACATTACAGAAGCAGCCTCTACAAAGCTAAAGAATACCTTCCCAGAAGATACAAGTTCTCTCTTCCATGTTTATGTATTCATTAGTATGGGGCTTTGTACTATAAACTGAACCTGAATTAATTCACATAGACGCATCTTCTACAGACTTGAGTGCCTCTGAAGGAAATGAACTTTTAATAAATAGGCAAATAACCTATAAAATAAGAAGCATGGAGGGAACTGGTTGGGGGATTCAGGAAAAGAGAAAAAAAACTAAAGAAAAGTCACCACAGATGGTCCTCATTTAACAACTGTTTATTTATTTTATTGATCTATAAAATTTATTAGCCGCCCATCCTACCTCAGGGTAACTGAAACTGATGCATTTTTGAAAGTGATGTAAAAATAATTTTATGCTCAATTCTCACATTTACAACTTTTGTGGATTTGTGAAACAAAGCTGAAAGCAGAAGTAAGATCATAAGGACTGAATTGTGGGTCTCAATACGCTTGTTAAACCAAGTAGTGATAAGGTAAAGGCTTCCTTACCTGCTTTGCAGGTTTTTCCATCTTCTTGTAGTTGGACTCCAGTAGGACAGGTACAACTATAAAAAGGTTCCTTTGGGGACAACAGGCACAAGTGTGAACAGCCACCATTGTCTTCCTCACAGGGTGTGTGAACTTGAAAAATAAGAGAAGAAAGGAAATCATGCACTTTTTTTTAAAAAAAAAAATTCTGATAACACAGAAAGGAAACCTAGATCCCTAAAGAAGACAATCACACTTTATGTTTCCTCATAAAATCAGGCCCTAAAAGATAATTGACTACAAGGCAGACATTTAATGTTGCTCCATACGACTTTAGGGAAGTATCAATAAACATAAAACTGTCCTGAAAAAAGTACCTTTTCACACTACAGTGTCTCAAACTGCTACAATGCAGTTGGGGATTCAATGAGGTTTAATAGTTTCAGAAGTATAAAATAATGTTTAGGGACAACTGGATGCTGCATGTTTATTTCTATTTGGACTGTTGTTATAGTTACAGCACAGGTTGAACCTGAACAATCGTTATTTGTTCAATCAGGAGTTCATACTTTTCTGTATATCTCACCCTGCAACAATATTAGCAACTTCTTAGTATTTTCTACATTCAGCTGTGTCCCAGTCAATTATGTTGGCTATACATAGTCTAAATATTTTTATTTATTATTTATATTTATTATAGCATGTGGACTTTGGAAGGCATACAAAATCACTTGTCTATCTTACACTCAAATCTGAAAAATTAAGATCTGGGTGTTCTGTTTGTGTTTTTCTTCTCCATCCCAATATGTAAACTGTTTGGATTATGGCATCAAAAGGAGAGAATGACAATTTAAAGTAGTGTGTTTGTGTAATCATTCAAAAGCACCAGTGTTAAGACGGTAGCCCTGTATATGATCCACAATCAATTAATACGGTACAAACACTTGGAGCAATGGCATCCAAATCCAGTCGAATCAAGAGACAGCATTATCTGAACTATTTCCAGCAGATAATATTTCCCAGTGTGCCAGGCTTTCCTCACTACTGTCCAGAAATATTGTGACCCTGGGGTGGGACGTGCTCTCAGCTGAGAGAAATGTTAGGAATTCCGAGAGCACCACATAGCCTCATCTGGAACGCAAGGACAAACTCTATCAGGGCACATACCCAATGACATCTACTGAAGCTTTGCACCTGTTTCTCAGCTAAAGCAGCTCTTAATCGCCTCTCTTTACTCCATGAATATTTACCATCCATCTATCCTTTTTCTTAGTATAGCCACAGCTCTTCAGAGCTAAGGCCAAATCTCCTCTAAGGTTTTCAATAGTAAACTTAGGCGTAAATGCTCTCTTAAATGAGATAATACTCAACTTTAGGATAAAACTATGTTATGTGTTACATTATGTTATGTTTCTAATATTTAATATGCACAAGACACAATTTCTTTGGAAATCCTGTGGCTAAAGAATTCAAGCAAAGCATACTATCTGCTTTTCAATTTTTTCCACAGATTTTTCCTGTTGATTAAAAGCTTCATCCATGAGAAATAATGAGGTATCTTCCTCTCTGCCGCTCCTCCCTCTAAGTCACTCACAAGAAAGTTATTTTTCTTACTTCAAAGTATCATTAATATTTTTGTAACAATATTACAAAATACTATTACAAAATACATACTATTAACAAGATACTAATGAAAAAATAAGTCCTTAAAATCACTGATTTAAAGTATTTAACGTACGTACATGTGCCTGAGAAATTCTGAATTTTAACATTTCTAAATGAAAGCCTCTTTCAATAAGCAGGCAAAAAAGGCATCTCAGCAAAGAATTTGCATTACTATGGCCTGCTTTTTAACCAAATTTGCATTGCACTATGAATGATATGCACAACCAGTTAATGATGATCTCATTTAAGTTTTGGAAAGTGTTCAACTATTCAGTCTGATACATTGTTCAGAGATCTGTGGCATCCAAGTGGGAATTAGCTATTATATTAATGAGAGTAACTTATGGACTCCACAAAATTTGAATCCCAAGTCTCCTTCCTTGGCACTTTTATTCAGTTATTATGCTCTAGCTGGCTGAGCTTCTTTAACATTACGGCAACAGCCACATCACTGACAATCAGAGAAATTCTGTCTTGCAAACTTCCACTGAAACACTGGCCAGATCAGCCAATGCTCTCAACAGGCAAGCCAAATCAGAGCTCAGAGAAGTTACTGCAAGGTGAAAAATCTACAGGATGAGACCCTGAGATTTTCTTTCCTTTGAAACAGTTTGAGATTCTGTTCTGCAATCAACATCTTATGTAAATATGATGGTAACAAACTTTATTAAACAGCAATCCAGTTAAGAACCTAATCCATGGCATTTAGGACTAAACCTCCTATCACAATCAAATAACAGCCTAGCATACCAGATGCTTGTTAATAATTATAGTAGGGCAGAGGCCTGCATTGCATAAATAATATATTTGTATTTTCTTCTTTGAAGTCATGGGCGTTAGATTTCCCACTTATCCCTAATGTGAGAGAAAAAGAAACAAACAGCAAACATACAATATGGCTGTCTTTCAGGGCTCAAAACTTGGATGTCCATTGGTGAATAAAGAGAATTTATTATTTCTCTCTTATTCTCTCCAGCTTTCTTGTTGCAGGCATGAATGGAACGTGTCTGCCAATCCGTCCAGTACAGAGTGTCCCCAGCCAACGTCAGGGCAAATGGATGAGTGAGACTACCTTCCACCACTTTTTGCCTAGTTTGTAGAAGAAAGAATATTTTCCAAAGTGATTACAAAAACTACTTCACAAATTAAGATGGAAAGACAAGATGTCAATATTTAAATAAAATAACAGTGACTTCCATAAACAGCAGTAATCAATTTATGTGGAATGGGCCTTGTTCATACCTGACCAAAACACTTTCTCCTGAATCATTTCAAAAAATACCATGCCTGCAAACTGGAACCACAATTACCATAAAACATGTTGCTCTGAAAAATTATTTAAATTATTATCTTGTTCTGACTTTTCAAAGTGGAGGTTCATCACACAGGAGTCTGTTCCAGCAATTTTAATCTACCATTCACAATAGAAAACATGTTATACTGCTATCAAGTTAGTTCACAGTGGCAATATTTGTAGTGTACATAATTTCTTTGAAGTTTAATTTATTTAGCACTATTAAAACTAAAGGTCATTCAGGGATAAAAATATCATATTTATATTTGCCATTACTGCTCCAAAATAATTTTAAACATCTATAATAAGATACAAAAAGCTATGGAATTATGTTGCGCACAAAACACAAATATGCATTGCACAATGTCCAACCACGAGTCATGAGTGAAGAGAAGGAGGAGAGAAAAAATGAGGCTGCTGGAATATTTTATCTTAAATGACAGCAATGCACATGCAGAACATTAGCATTCTGAAACTAACTTTGTTATCGCTAGAACAACTTTGTCACAGCAGGAGATATGTATGTTCCAACAGTACTTATTTGTATTTCTTGAATCTGGGCTGTAATTTAAGCTTTCAAAGACAGCATTTAGGGGGAATAAAATGAGTTCATTTTTTTATCATTCAGAACATAAAGCATTTTGACCAAACACGCTAATTGGATTTTTGTACTCCAAATACATTTCTTCATAGGAAAAAAAAATCCTTCCTTTCTTTAAAAGATAAAACAATATTGAAATAGCATTGAGCAACATTTAGGATGTTTTGTTGTTTACAGACTATATTGTAGAAAAACATGTATCCCTCTGTTTGGATTAAAGAGACACAAAATTAAAGCAAAATTTCAGTAACAGCACAAGAATATGAATTTGACACAGACTATACAATGTACAATCCAGATTTATGTTATTATTTTTTATGAGTTATTGATACTATCGCTTGATCACAGAAAATGTCATTTTTGATTTGACAGTGGCATGAAGGATACCAACAAAACAAATCACAGAAGTTTAAGAGAATCTAATATAATTCTGCAGATTGAATTTTTCCAAACACCCTGGAAAAGAAAAGAACAACCAAGTAGTAGTTTCTTTCCCTCTGCTTGTATATACGCAGCTATGCAAAGTATGCATTTGTGTCTCTCCATTTTCTCTATGTATACGAGGACACAATAGTTGACATACATACTTGATTCATAGGTGCTTTTGAACAACACAGACAATTCAATGTTACCATGTACCTGAAGGATGAGCTATTACCATGGGGTGAAAAGGGAGGCATGTGGAAGCATGAACTAGCAGCAGGCATCAGTAAATGAGAGATGGAAACATGTAGAATGAAAAAGGAATAAATAATGATCTCCAGACACTTATCAAAATATTCAAGGGCAGTCGGTGACGCAAGGTTGACAGCCTTTGTTGTCATAGTTGCCAGAAAATACATTAGCACCCTATCAATTTAAACAGAAAACATCTGAGCAATATTAAATGTATTTGCAGAGGGTTACATGTATTCATATATGTACACACACACACACACCCCCTACCTGAAAGAGCCGTCCAGATTTGCTCTGTGAATGAAGCTCAGTTTTGCATCAGCCCAATAAAGCTTTTGTTCACTGAGATCTATTGTGAGTCCATTGGGCCAATAAATGTCAGAATCCACGATTATTTTCCGAAAACTGCTGTCCATTCCAGCACGCTCTATTCTAGGTGTTTCGCCCCAATCTGTCCAATACATGTATCTAGAAATAAAAAAAAATCCAAATACAATTATAATAACAGAATAGACACTTTCCTGAAATCAAGGAAATTTTGTGAATTTCCTTGAAACCAAGTTTATATGTCAACAGATATCAAACATTTCTTTAAAAGCAAAACATAACTTTATTATTTTTAAAGATTTTCCCACCTTAGTTAACTATTTCTAAAAATATAAAGTCTTTTGTTTCCTGTACAGTTCAATTAATACAAGTCTTTTCATTACTTGCTGAACAAGGACTCTTTATCTCAACTGGTAGAGCCCCTTGGGCTCCATTATGATCTTTCAGCAAAAACTTTACAACTACACATACCTTGTACAACTTTTTAGCTACAGTAACTGTTTTCAGCCAATTAAAATAAGAAGTGCCATTAAAAAAAAAAAAAGAATGATTCTACTATTGCATCTGAGTAGAAGTAATTTATCTACTTTTGAATTAATGACTTACACTCAGGTTTTTGCAAGAGTAAAGAGATGAATAAAATGAAGCACAACAATGATAAAAACGGCATATAACAAAATGAATAATTGGCTGAAAACACTGTGACACATACAGCTAAAAGAGAAATTAAGTAACACAAAGATCGGAAAGAACTAAAACCAGTTAACGGAAACCATGCCTTAAAGTCAACGTGATTCTCAAGGGGATACCAACATCACCCTGCCTTTGTAGTCATGTACTTCTTTTCTTTGGCAGTGATAAATCGAGAAGTGCTTCAGAAGTTGGCCTTGGTATTTGGAGAAATAGAAATGGAAGGACACATGCTCTTTTAAGACAAACTATTTAAGGCACTGGAGGTTTAAAGGTGAACCGAGTACTCTCAGGAGGTTAGAAAATGACTGGCAACCAAACCATATGAGAAAATGTCTGTTATTGTATTTCTATTGACTATGAATGCCTGGCTATTAATCAGAAAATCAAGGAAACTGAATATTACTTAGATAGCTTTTTGGTATCAAAGAATAGAGAAATAATGAATAAGAATAGAATAGAATAGAATAGAATAGAATAGAATAGAATAGAATAGAATAGAATAGAATAGAATTCTTTATTGGCCAAGTGTGATTGAACACACAAGGAATTTGTCTATAATGACCCTTTAGGACAGGGATGTCAAACTCAAGGCCCATAGGCTGCATCCAGCCCGCAGGATGCTTAGATCTGGCTCGCAGGGCTGCCCTGGAAACAGAAGAACCAGCCTGTAGTGCCTCTGCCAGCAAAAACGGAGCTCGGGAGGGCCACAAGTGGCCTTCCTGAGCTCAGTTTTCACTGGCAGAGGGTTGCAGGAGGCCGTTGCAGCCAGAAACTGAGCTCGGGAGCCTATTTTCACTGGCAGAGTGCTTGGGACACCACAGGCGTCCTGACAGAAGTGACATCGAGCTGGCCACACCCACCCTGGCCACACCCACCCACCCAAGGTCAAACACAACCTTGATGCCGCCCTCAATTAAATTGAGTTTGACACCCCTGCTTTAGGATATATGACCAATATTACTATCAGGGCCGGATTTAGATGAAAAGAGGCCCTAGGCTATTCCACTTATGAGGCCCTTTCACCTATAGTGAAAGTGTAATTTTAATTTTGCTAACAATTTGAATGTAGGCCCCTCTTGATCTTGAGGCCCTAGGCTGAAGCCTAATTAGCCTATAGGAAAATCCGGCCCTGATTACTATGTATTATTTATTAGACCTGTGTAAATAATTCACAAAGCAGCTTCAACTGCATGGATGATTTTGCCAGAATTCAGTCATCATTCAGAAAGGCCTTCTCAGATTATCTGCGCATGCACAGAAGATGTTTCCACTAGAACTGCTGAGGAAATCAATAATTTGCATAGATCTATAATGAATTTTATTCATTTCTTAAGTTTATGACTTCTTTTTTTCTTCAGGCAGCTACCTACTTGCACTTTTGGGTTGTTTTTAAAATGCAAAACTGAACATTAACAAAACTTGAGAATATAAAAATAAGATACAAAACACAAATATGAAAAAGCAGAGAATGAGAGACAGGTATAGACTTTAAACATCCATAGCTAATAGCACTATAGCAATAGCATTTAGACTTAGTTACCACTTCATAGTGCTTTTACAGCACTCCCTAAACTGTTTACAGAATCAACATATTGCCCCCAACAATCCGGGTCCTCATTTTACCCGACCTCGGAAGGATAGGAGGCTGAGTCAACCTTGAGCAAGTGAGATTTGAGCTGCTGAACTGCAGCTAGCAGTCAGCTGAAGTAGCCTGCAGTACTGCACTCTAACCATTGCACCATCTTGGCTCATATATTTTGGTCAGGAAGATATATGGATATGGATAAAGATATAGATATAGTTATACAGATAAAGATATAGATATACAGATTCTCTGATAAACAAATATAATCTATTATGAATGGTTTTTGTTGATAAAAATGGATACAAAACTTGAATAAAACAATATTTAACAAAGAGATTTATCAGGGCTCAGTTGTTTTTTCTTTTAGCCAATACTATTTCCCAAACTTTTGAATATATTTGATCCAAACAAAAATGTTTTAATTTTCTAATGTTTTGCAACAATAAATTTGTAAAGTGAAAGAAAAAAATACATTCATTTGTTATGTTGAAAAATACAGAAAATAAACATACAATATAGTTGATTTCCAAAGATTGTTGAGCAACTTCAAAAATATTTGGCCAGAATGAGGAACTAAACTGACAATGGCAAGGCCTCTGGCAGCAATGTAATTCCTACCAATCTGTACAGGAAGATTTTGGTTCATATAATGTAATGTTAATGGTGGGTATTAACATCTACACATTTGGTTACGGTCAATTTAATGAAAAGAAGGACTAGGGGTGACATGATAGCAGTGTTTCAATATCTCAAGGGTTGCCACAAAGAAGAGGGAGTCAAGCTATTCTCCAAAACATCTGAGGGCAGGACAAGAAGCAATGAATGGAAACTAATTCAGGAGAGAAGCAACCTAGAAGGAAGGAGAAATTTCCTGACAGTTAAAAGAATTAATCAGTGGAACAACTTGCCTCCAGAAGTTATGGTTGCTCCAACACTGGACGTTCTTAAGAAGAGATTGGACAACCATTTATCTGAAATGGTATAGGTTTCCTGCCTGAGCAGGGGGTTGGACTATAAGACCTCCAAGGTCCCTTCCAACTCTGTTATTCTAATTCTAATTCTCCAAAGTTGAATTTAAATATAATTTTATGCCATAAAGAATTCCAATGTAACTCACTGTCTTAGCTTCCATTTCCTCTTCCCATATTATTTTATTACTTCTTTTTGGACTTTTTTCACCTTCCTTTCAATGCCAATGCTACCAAGTACAGAAGTGTATTACAGAACTAAAGAGAGTTCCCTGAATTTAAACAATGCATATACCATTCTTCAAATACTGCTGAAGGGTTTGATTGCTGAAATTTAATAAAATTAAGAAGGAATGATGAAACCTGATTCACCTGAAATTTGTAACCAATTCTTCAAAAAATATATTCAGCAGAGATGGATTCCCAATTAAGTCTTTAACCAGACAATGTCCTGACTTTTCTAATAACCCATTTCATATAGTCATTTTATTAATATATGTATTTGTAACTATATATAAATTTCTCAATATCAGGGAAGAATGGCTTTAGATTTTAATACTCTCTGCCAATTCAGCATAATTTGTGGTTATTATGCTATGAATAGAGTTACTTTAAAAAGTATCATAATAATCTTTTAAAGATGTATACCTAAATTCCCAACATGATTTTGCTTGTGGAATATGATTTGCATAATCCTACTTCTTTTATACAAATGAAAAAGAGAGAGGGGTGTCTTTTGCCATGAACTAAATTAAGAAACAAAGAAGTTTGAAGTTTGAAACAAAAATAAGATTTTAGAAAACCAAGAGAAGATATTTTACTAGAGATAAAGAAAGCTATATTAATTTGCAATCTTTCAAAGTGGATCTTCAGCACATTTCTTACCCTGATGTCGATTACAGCAATTGCTCCTAAATATCTAAATACATACATACATACCAATGGGAATTATAGTCAAGCATATTAGGAGAGCCCAGATTGTTTACTTCTGTAGTTGATGTACTTTAAATTAAGCAGATAAAAGAATAGCAGGATTAATATATCTCCTTTCCATAATTCAAGAGTTTTGTCAGATAATGTATTAAGTCATTGTGTGGTTTAATTTGGTTCTGACTTAGTTTACTGCGCAAATCCAACCGATATGGTGTTCAAACTGGAATGTGTGGCTAGTTCACTGATTGTGGTTGATTAAAATTTACAGTACAATATTAAGAATCCAGACTAAGAGGTAACTTTTTGAGTGGAATATATGGCCATACAAGCTATAAATTTCCTCAACTCCAATATCTCTTAAGCATAGGTCCAATCATTCCCTATTACCCCATATTTAATAATGTTTTAATTATGTATGCCATGTTCAGCTTTACAATTACAATACTGAAATACAGTATTAACGATTTCCTTGTGCAAACCACTTCTGAAAAACCTTGCCAAGAAAACTGCAGAGTTTTATCCAGGCAGTTTCTGATAATCAGACATAACTGAACAAAAGAAAAAGAAAAAACATTCCAAAAGTCCTAACATTATCAGAAGTATATAATTTTCAAATAAAATTACTTATAAAATAAGTGCCTCATTTATTAAATATAATTGATCCATATCTACATGCTGTATACAGAACATGGTCTCTCACATATGTACACAAATTAATCTTATACATAAATATCATAACTAGATGTAGGCATAGCCAACTCTGAGGAAGAGGAGGATAGAGATGGGATAAGTGAAAGGGGTAGCTGTATATGGAAAAGAAGGAAAAATGAAGGAAGTTAAATAGGAGGGAGGGAGGGAGGGAGGGAGGACGGAAGGAAGGAAAAGATTCTTTTTAGGCATTACAAGAGGATTCCAATCACCTTCCCACATAGCAGCTAATCTTCAAACTAATCTACAAAGGC